ACAGTACAAAGGAATGGTACACTTATTTAAAAAGGGACGGAAGTATACACTACTTATAATTAATTTTCATCGCCTCTATTAGAGTTGTTGCGCTTTGTTATTTGATGTAATGGAACCACATATATTTAGAGTAGTCATTTATTCTAACACCATCATCAGCAGTTTAATAGCCTATTGAAATTGTACTCATTTTACTGAAACCGCTTCTTTTTCAATATCTCTGGAATTTAAACGACAGTATCGTGGTTCAATGCCAACAGATCATTCAGAGGTCATATGTACTCGTACTACGCCTCAATGTGAATACAGTAGGTACCTGTGTGTTTTTGATTACCGTAGACGAGTTTTTTTTTTATTTCTATAAATACATTTTCACATTTTCATATATTCTTCTCATAATCGAAAGTAAAATTTAGTTACTCAAACCGTTCCAAAGAGGTTTGCGTTACGCATTGTGATATTCCTTTTTCTTTCTTCGTCATTGTATTCATGTTCACGGAATGAAAGATTTGAGGCGAAAAAAATTGTGAAAAGAAATGTAAATATGTGTGTACTTATGGACATACGTAAGAAGTTATACTTCTTAAGCGTAATAAAAGAAAAATAACTAACCTGTGCCCTGTGCTCTTTGTTTGTGAAAAGACATTAAATGCAATTGACAATGGTAAATATCTTAGAATTATAGGTAAACGTCAAAAGGTTGTTTTAGATTGCCATGGTAATATAGTGAAGTAGGTCGATGTTGGTCGCTTTGCAAGGAACTTCACTTAATGATAATTATTTTTTTCCTAACCCGTCAAAAGAAATGTAACTTAATAAACTTTTTGTCACTTTTTTCTCTCCTTTCTAAGCTAAATAAAGTTATCAGAAACTTAGCTTAAATCGAAATTGTGCATCGAACAAATTATTTGTGTGTAGACAAAATAATATTAAAACTATTTAACAAAAATTAAGCAACACTAATTACTGAAAAACAAAACTTAACGTTGTAAAAAAGGAATTACTTCAAAAAAGGCATCGCAAACCAAGGCGTTGAATGCGTGAATTTATTTTTAATTAAAACTGTTTTGTGTGTTTACTACACTGGAATCTCCATTCCACATTTCATTCAAATCCATTCATCCGTTAAAGTGAGATCATGGAACAAAAACATACTCATTTTCACGCTTACACCTAAATCCATAATAAGATGAAATCTTTATGTAATAATGGAAAGATTTCATTGGTTCTTAATAAAAAAAATTATAATGTATAATGATGATTTGAAATATGAGGTAAACTAAAGAATTACAAAGCAAGCGCACGGAAACCGAGCTACCACGACTCAATTGGAAACATAACCGTAAATTATAAATGGTATTCGTAAATATAGTTTTGCCGTGACTCGATTTTTTTTATCGTTGAAATAATTGTTTATCTGTTAAATATCCCGATAATACGTTTAACTCGTATCTTTCTAGCGATAGGGTGAATTACATAATTATATTATTATAAAAAGAACCCGCTTTTAGATATTTCAAATGTATAAATATAAGATACCGGGCAAAAGTTAATTACCCGTTTATTATTTCATAGTGTATGAAAAAGCTGTATTAAATCGTAAAGCGAAAATGTGAAGTTAGAAAAAGTGCGTGGGCACCACTGCACTCAGTAAAGAATAGGTTTCCGTGTTGGTAAAGTGGTGGCAGGGAAGTAAGTTGAAACATTTTCTATCATAAACTTAATTTATTATTTGTTTTGTCAAGAGACAAAAATATTAAATCAATTGGCAATTGTGTAATTTGCGCCGATTTTCACCAACAATTGTAATTAATATGTATTAATAGTGTTACCCAACTTCATCCTTAAAAATTTAATTTCTATCAGTCATAAGCCTACTAAAAATAAGTTGTCAGATAAATCGCTATAAACTAAATTTAAAATGATTTCTCACATTAAATTTGTACTACCCGAATTTTATTGGGCCAATATGACATATCGACGACAAAGACAATAATAAAAACTAAATGTACGAGACCCATAAAAAAGAAACTTAGCTAATATTATGGTGTTGGTTTAAGTTACACCCCTCGAAATACGTATAAGAATTGTAAAAAAGTTAACTTGAAGAATGTTTTATTTGCATATTGTCAGTTTACAATTATACATACAAACACTCATACTAAGTGTAGTCTGTGACGGAATTTCAATAGTTAAAAAACAATAATTTATTTTATTTAATGGCGGTAAATATTGACTATGTTCAACTTGAGAAAACATATTGTTTCAAGTGATATTGTACTCATTAGAATATCAAAATGTATGATTTTATAAAAACAAATGACATTTATGCTTCACATATCTGAACGTTGGCACAAACAGATCTCGGAAGTACGTTTAAACAGGCAGTAAATTAAAAAAAATGCGATATCAGATACGCGTTCGCTTTTAACATACACCCCACGCGTTTCCTAGCTCCGACGTCCCGTAGAGATGTGCCATTGAGATGAGAACGTGTCCAAGTTGAACGCGGCGATAATACTAAGTGAGTTGTGACCGGGGTGGGCTGTAAAACGTACATCAGATAGCGGCACAGATTGGTGACGGCCGTCGTGGCGTGGCCGGCGCCGAAATCCCAGCGTTGAACAAGCTGGACTCGTTTGCCACAAACCTAGGCCCGCTTACGGTCGAACATTTTACTATTACTTTTTATGCTTACAATTTGCTCGTGAAAACCAATTGACTTGATTCGAAGAATGATATGGTGATTCACTCAAAAGAGAAACGGCTGACGAACTATGGAAGCGTACAAGCTTTTCTAGCATAAGGTCAGTAAAAATAATCACATGGCGTAAGAGTATGGAAAAGGAAAACTGTTAGGCTAAATACTCGCAACGCTTCCTTAATTTAATAGGAAATACTTGTTGAAAGTAATAAAAAACATTATTCCTATAAGTAATATCAATACAGAAGATCAACTATTGTTATCAAATTGAAAATACTATTAAAATATATTTTTAATATTTTAAATGTAAGACATTATTTTCTATCAATGGAATATTATTTTGTTATCATAGCATGCCACATCGCACTTCATAAAATGCCAAAAACATGCCAAGGATTCCAGTGGAGTTACTGATGTAAAATATGATAATTAAAGGCGCTGTTAGCTGGCTGAGGCGTGTTCGTTTTGGAGAAAAAATTATAAATATCGATTGAAATTCGATATTTTAAAGTGGTGATTTTTGCAGCTGCCATTCGATAAATAAAATCACAAAAGTAATTAACAAAAGCTCACGGTGCTAATTAATTAATGTTTTTTAAATTATAGTTTACCCAATTCGACTAAATCAAACGTGGCCTAAAATATTTCAATTTTATATCGGAAAGTGAAATAATTCGTTCATCGTATTTTATAAATGCACCTGAAATATCTTAGTATATAATGATACCATAAAATGACAATCATAAACTATAAATGACCTGACATACAAGTATTAGGGATTATTACTTACTTACGATTTTACTCGTACTCGTGAATTTTTATTACCGTTTGCACATCAAACGGTAATATAAATTCACAACGTTTGCGTACAATAGCTGCACAGTAATTTTGTAATTATGTAGCAAAAATACGTAAATATTTTTTTACCGGTTTTTTAATGTTTTTATCTAATTTTAATAATGAATAAAATGAAAACATTTTTCGGGATAGGGATTTAGTAATAATACTACGATTTACTTTAAACGTTATCGATTTTTCATTTTTAAACTCATATTTAAATGCCCTTTTTAATCATTATAAATATTTTCAATCTTAAGATTTATAAAAAGAACTCACAGTAAGTTTAAAACCTGCCACAGAGAGTAGCTCACGATCTCAGGCAACTTCTGTATATGATAACGGATCTTTAAAATTAACTTCCTTAATAATGTTTTTTGTGAAAGCAGCCCAAATGTAGTTTTACGTTAACATGCGTCAATTAAAATTAATTTTTAACTATTGCACTAACGAACACTTGAACAATTCGCATTTACAAAAAGCTTGCATTGGAACGTCACCTTAACACGCGACACGCCATTTTTAGGTAGCCGCCAAATTCAAATAATTCCTTACGTGACAAAAATAATATAATTGGTAAAATTAATAATAACCAGCCGTTTCGGTATTTATATTAAAATCTATCATCAATTTCGATTAAAACTTATTTTTTTATTCAACAATTTTAACAGCTCGTTCCAAGTTTACGTAAAGCCTACAAAGCCCCTTAAGATCCTTAACTTTAGTTATTTTTAATGAGGTCTAAATTTGTATAATGGATTTCCGTACAGGAAAATATATTCGACGTTTTGTATTCGCGTCGATCATAATTACTGGTAAACTGTAGCATTGAGCGGTTCAATAAGTAAGGTAAAAACATAATACAACTACAAAAACATAGTCTACGCGTGGTATTTGACGTAAGTTCATGTTTTTAATTTGTTATAGGGAAGATATAGCAAACGGGCAAGCGACGCGTTTGTGGTTAAATGGTCACCACTGCTTATGGACCTTCGGAACAACAAGGGAATTGCAAAAGAAGCGCCGGTCTCTTCTTAGGAATATGCTAAATGTCACTATTCTATTTTTCAAGTTCTCTATTCTTATATTTCAAGAACAAACAACCTAAAAGGCACATAAAACACCATCTTGTAGATAGTCTTTATATCTGTATATTTGTTCATATCATAGCCATTTCAGAGCGTTTTCATAAAATTTTTATTCCGAAGTTCCAATGAAAACGAGAACAAAAGCCACGGTGAAGCGTATTCGACTTCAGCTAATCTTAATCGTAATAAATAAAAATTAATGTTGGTAAGCACATAACTCGAATGGCTGGACCAATTCGGCTAATTTATTTTTTGTATGTTACTTAAGGGCCACGGAAGGTTTTATTATACATAAAGAAGGGAATAAGTCTGTCCTGGCAGCTCAATGATAAAAATAAAACGTAAAAGAACTTCGAAGCTAATCCGCTTACCTCAAATAATCGCTCTTGCAAAATATGTTGCTGTCGCGCGCGTAGCACCTTTGCTCGGAGTCGAGGGGCATCTTGCACTCGCAGCACCTCAGGCAGGGCGTATGCCAGCGCCGCTCCAGTGCCAGCAGGTAGAACCTGTCCGTGATCTTGGAGCCGCAGCCAGCGCAGGAGTCGTCCGGCGGGGGGGCCGGCGGCTCGTCCGGCGGCTCTCTCTTGCGGCACGAAGTGCAGTCGCGGGGCGAGACGGGCGACGCCGCGGGAGCCACCGGCGACAGATCGCCCGCACCCTCGTATGCCGAAGACAGATACCGCTCATTCTGTTGCTGAAAGAAGATAGCTCTTAAGTGCGCGCTGCAGATACACGATTCCTTCGTGACTGTCACCGTAACTGTTGAATGACAATGGTAATTTTAATTTCTTAAAAAAAAAATTGACGTTGAATAGGCAATAACATCTTCATTGCATATTAAACGAGCACCCGCCGAGAAATAAACCTTGACGAACCGAGCTCAGCGGAAAGACAAGAGGAGATGGGAACACATAAAGACTGGCAAGCCGAGAGTGCTCATTAATTAGCCGCTAATGAAAAATTTAAAAGAAAAGGTTCTTTGGAATTTTCTATAAGAGGCAATATAATTGTACGCGGATAAATTTATCTTTTCCTCCGCAAATGAGAGTTTACTGATATTCTTACATATGTATACATTATTAAGGTGGCAGTATGAAGCGAAATAAACGTTTATTTTTCCAATAACTAAAAATGTTATCCACTAGGCCAGTACTCTTTTTTTTGTGAAATTATATTAATTTGATAACGGTTTAATTAAATGATTTGGAATTATAGGTAAATGTTAAAAAGTTGTTATTGGTTGCCATGGTATTTTCGAGACGAAAAAATTCTTACACTTTTTTTCCTAGCCCCCATCCGTCATATCCGTACGGTGCGATATGGAACTTCGTTCCATCAATTTTTCTAATACAATAAGAGACATATTTGTACCTTTTACATATGCGTCTAGGCCTGCAAGAATATTCTATGCAAAAATCAGAACATTCAATAAAAATTTGAGGAGGAATAGCTATAAACGTGCTCTTTGCTATTAAGTGGATTTATAAAATATATAAGATCTAGACGAATTGCTCAACTTTTAACCTGAAAATTATTACCGTTTACTATTCTACAAATTTTATAATTTAATATATTATCTTAAACAAACAAATTATGTTACGAAACAGCAAAATATTGGATTCCTTTTAGAAAGAAACTTCAATTCTATCCAGTTAGTTTAATATAAGCGTTCTAGAATAAACTTCATATTTTAGCGCAACAATTATTTTAGTTTTACGCACGTCTTAATTAATACAACTGTGATTGGTGAAAAAAGAATTTGGAAATCATAAATGAATGGTTCCGTCTACGCTTAATACAGGAGAATCGATTCCCTAGCGGTTCGAAATACTTTACAAGAACAAGAAATGTGTCATCTTGTGTGAAATTATCAAAGTAAGTTTAGATTGACACACAGTTATTCAACATATCGTAAGATACTTCTCTCTTAAAAAGTTTTCTTATCTTTATATTCATAAATACGTGTTCATTATATACATATTCTTGGCCCGGTAATCTATAATGCACTCATGGCCTCTGACGCTAGTAAAGCATAATGCATTTGTAGTAGTATATTAAATTAGAATGAACCCAACACTTCGTTATCTATGATATAATTGAAAAGTAACGGAAACCGCTTGAATATGGTAATTTGAATTTATTAATGGGCTCTTTAGTGCGCCCTCTTGGTGATTTTGAAATTATTTTTTGTTCAATTAAATTTATTAAAGGTCACCACTAAAAAATGTGCTTTTTAAATTTAATTGTATTTTGCGTTATAATCATTTGGTACTTTCCGCGCACTCTACTATTTACTAAAAAATAACCGTATACTTATTAAAGTAGTATCAGTACTATTTATTACTCGTATTTTACCTAACTAAACCAAAGGTGTGGGCGAGATAAGAGAAATTATTAAATAAAATTATCATTGAGAGATCTAAGTTTATCTTAATAGGAGTCGTGAAAGTATCGGTTGTTCAAACTTAAATATCATTTGTATACAAATATAGGAGATTAGAGAATATAATATCCGTAGAACCGTAAAAAAGAAAAACTAACGGGCCGCTTTACCATGTAACACCCCTTCTTTGTTACGGGAAAAATTGCGTTTAACGCTCCGCGCTGCATTGCCGCGGGCACCCGTCGGCAGACTGTTACATTTCCATTTTTAAAGTTCAGTTATTCTCCGACTATGAACGGTGCTGAAAAAGATTATCACGCTTCAAGTGTATTGTTCTACCAATTACGTGGTATTAATGTAGGCTGTGTTTTTTCTATATACCAATAAGCATAACATTATTAGCGTATATAAATAATTCCAGGGAATCCATTTACAAAGTGGGCTATAACTTTAAACATCACACTACAAATTACGAAATAACCAAGGAGCTGCACATTTGTATGAGTAACTTTCACTAACTTCCTAGTATAATTATGATACCCTTAAATAAATATTTGTATCTGCCTATTTTTAAGGTCGATAAAATGTAGAGTCAAATTATTTAAAATTTAATAATTATCGATTTAAATCCCAATTTTTAATTTCTTACTAATTATATATTACACAAGAAGTGTGAACGTGAACAACTACGCGAGTATCTCAAAAAAGTCGCTTGGTATTTCATTCGATAACATGAATTACGCTTGCGTACTTATAAAAGTATATACTTAGGTTATCGTATACTTTTATGTTATTAATTTACTTACAAAATTCATTAAGACACGAATTAATTCAATTGAATACCCCATAAGCGGAATAAAAGCGCCCTGCTTCATGTGTGCCTATAAGTTTACACACGTAAAATAAATATAGTATCAAAGGGACAAATCGTAATTAATACGACTCAATAAAGCATTGAACATGTGTTCGGAGAGTTTCAACCAACTTGCAATTAATTAATGTAGTGGCAATACTGCGAACAGTGCCAACATCATGGCAGTGACAGGTTGCACCGATAAATCTATTGATCGAAGTTTGAAGTCCCAAACTACTTATACCACTAAGGGAAAACTTAACTCAAAGCTAGTTGACTCGGTAATATGTTTGATTAATGGCGCTTAAATAACATCAGTGATCTGCCCGGCGGCAAAGATGGCGTAATAGCTCAGATTAGGTTAGGTGCAGCTTCCTGACTGCTATTGCACGTCGGGTTGCCGCTTCGATCCACGAGACGATACTTGTTTTACTTATCAGCGCTGGACTAGTTCTTTGGAGTAGTTTCAAAAGCATTTGGAATGGATATACTTATAATTTGTGTATTATTAAATTTCAATATATGTGTCGCCTAACATATACATAAAAATCCGCTCGGGTAAAATACTGATTTAATAGGAGTAGCTCCAAATATCAAGTTTAACAAAATAATATAAGGATATATACAATTTTTTGTTTCAACCGCAAAATGAGTAATAATTTTTTCAAATTAATTGAATCGCCAACAGTGCGGTATCGTTGTTGCGGTATGAACGAGATCCTCAGACCGTGACTTTACGGGTTTCCATCAAGATAAGTAGGAATCCTTAGCCCAAAGATCTGTGTCCGTTGCATTGACCCTTGGACTCTCAACTGGGTCATTTTCCATATCTGCTGCGATTAGCATCGTGTCCAACCCGAAAGTGTCCACTGACTAAGCCAAGAGTAGACAAGTGAACCTTGTTTTTAGGAAGGAATTTATTTAAAAACGTTGAAATGAGGTTTATCCAGTTATTTTTTTTTCGCATCATTGTATTATTTAGTTTTATTTGTACAGCTAATTACCGTATAATAATATAATTCAAAAATGTTTGTAAATAATATGGTTACAATTAAGACAATATTGCGAAAAGGGTTAATGAAAATAGAATCATGCCTTTAATTAATGTGTATAATCCATCAAAAATATTATCGCAAGATTATTCATGACAGAAATAAATGAACCTCCACTTTTCCAGCCTGATCTATTCTCGAATGCTTATAAATAGAATCTTTTACGTTACAACAGTTACGTAAATAAAGCTACAATACGCCTACGTAGACGTAATGGGCCACAAATAATTAAAATCCACAACTGGGGGACCTCCGCTGGTTCGAGGAAGATATCGATTAAGTAAGCCAGCGGCTTTAGTGCGATTTGCCAGACATTACAAACCTTCGGGATATATTTGTTCGTTTGTTAGATATCCCGGTTTCAGAATGACAGTCCCTATTCGGAGTGTTTTAATTAAGTCACTCCTAAGCAATGAAAAAATGCATCACCGAATACCAAGCAACCGATGATACAGCATGATTTAAAATCTTAAATAAAATAGCCCAAAATACAAATAAAAAGTATTAGACGTGAAGTTTAAAGTCGATATGTTTAAAATTCCGTTAAATTATATCGTGCTGCCGTCGGCTTTATGCACAAAAGTTCAAATTGGACAAAAAAAATCTTTACTTAATATAATAGCTTACGATATAACAGAAAATGTACTAAAAACTATGAGGCTTATTTTCAAACGAGTGGAAAAAACAGAGAAAATTTATAATGTATTATAAAAACGTTCATGTCAATATTAAACTATACGTGCATAAAAGTTTTGTGTCATTGAGTTATATCTGCATTGTATATATACATTAGATGGTGCTACAAAAAATATACACGTATGTTAATTTCGATCAGCAAACTCAGCATAATAGATGCAAAATTTGTTAAATCCGTCATTACAACAAGTAATCTTTTATTTAACATAAATCTTACAAATTAGTCCGGGAAAAAAATTGAAATAAGATATACATTGCGTAGTTAGCAAAAAATAAACTATATTACGTATTTAATAGTCATACATTTGGTTTTTAGAAATGTCTATATTATGTAACTAAAATATCAAACACATCAAACAAGAAATGTTATATCAATAAAACACACTGAAAAAATACAAGATGTTAATTTAGACATTGTTATAAAAGGAAAAACTTTGCACAGGAATATATTTTACATACAATCTAACTCTTATGTGAATATCGGATTATTCTCTTTGAAACATAATGGTTTGAACAGAATAATGGCCGATGTTTCTTTGGTTTGAGGAAATTTAATGGAATAACCGAGTATAAGTATTTGTCATGACTTTTATTTGCCGTTTTTTATAGATAATGGTACGGAACCCTTCGTGCGCAAATCCGACTTGCTATTGGCCGCTTTTATAAGGATAACAAAACTCTCTAGTTTAAATCTTCGATTAGAGATGATATTGTGATAAAACAAAAGGTTATTTGCAATTCTGAAATTTAATATAATTTTACTTAATCCTTGTACGATTGTTGGTAAACAAGAAAGGATAGCATAGGTGAAGAAGCCTATGCCATTTTTTATTTAAAAACAATTTAAAAAATTTTATTTAATTAACAATTGTATATTTATCAGAAAATACATTGTCTATTACAAAAATTCTTAGAATAGATTAATTACATAGTAACCAAAACAATAATGAATTATTTAATATACTATATTAATCTCATTTCCACTACTTACCCGCCTAATTTTTCAAGAACCACCGCTATAAAAATAAGTAATTGTGTAAAAAAAGTTAATATTTTTTATAATGGCGCTATTATTCTAAAGTTATGGAACAATGATTTGTATTTATGGTGTTAAATAAATTTTACACGATATATATATGTCGCCCCAAATATATAGTAGGTTTCCACAGCCTAGGACTATCTTACAAAAGATTTCAACGCTAAGTTGCCAACCTACCTACCGTCTAACCTAGCTACCGTCAGACAGAAGGAAGATAAAATTTATTTTAATATTTAGTTCAGTTTGTGAGTTTTAAAATATGGTACATTCAGATTAACTACAAAACTCAATTAAATCAAATATCGTATTCGAAGTATAAACGTATATGGCTTAATATTAGAGGAAAAAAGAGAAAGTGTTACCTACAATTACAAAATATCCTAAAGTTACTGAATATATTAATTAATCTTGTTTATTCTTTAATGTTTGACAAAATAACGTTTCTTAGTCCTAAATTTGAGGACATATAATGATTATATATTAATGTATACGATTTTCTTCAAACAGGTAATATAATTAAAAGTAAATAGTGAAGTTTCTCGCAGTACCAATAACACCAAAAGTTTATTATACCCATAAAAACACTATACTAAATGTAATATATGGCGACAACATTTTTTTAAGGAAGGTTTATTGAGATACCAAGTGTCACCTTAGGATTATTCCCTATTTCGCCCGAACCGATTTGTTACTACAGTTTCAGTAAGGCCTACACGTTACGCGAACGGGGAGGGTAAAAGTTTGGAAAGTTTCCCGCGTCGCCGCGTAACTTCCGTAACGAAATCTCACCCAGTGCATCGCTCCCCTGTCCTCGTACACTCCCATCTGGGGGTCAATTTTTCCGTTTTCTATTTTCGAACGACTGGGCCTGCGCCCCACTGCACTACAGCACTAACACGCGTGGCATGGCAACCGTGCTCGCAGCGTCGCGGCCGACGGACTACTGGCGGCCCAGCGACACTTTGGCAGCGTCGTAAGCAGGAGGCGCTTGGTGACGCCCCATTCTACGCCCCCGGGTCGATGGTGGGCGCCGGCGACTACATTCCTTTTTTTCCCCCCTTTTTACTTTTTCAAACACGCCGTAACTGAACTTTTCGAAACTCCAATTGTCATACCGCGCGGTTCTATTGTATTTTGCTCACAACTCCTTGAGATGGATGTCAGTTTTGTTTTCATAATGATCTGAAGTCTATTGCCTCGCCGGTTTTTTTATGTCTTACGTTACAAGCAATATCCCCGTGAAACTTGTAGCACATGTTTTTATTATGTTACACGAATATAATAACATAAGTGACGTTAGTAAACCAAATATAAAAAAGAAATAAAAAAAACTGATAGAAAGAATAAAAACGATTGAATAATAATTTTTAAGAGAATAGAAGTAGTAAAGATCTTCAAATATTGTCTCGGCCTATAAGTTATCTCGGCCTATGAGTCGAAAAGTAAGGTTTTTTAAATATTTGTAATGATTACATAACGCGTCCCACATTTGTTCTTTCGAACTTTACACTGGTATACCAACAGTTACTTGACAATAATGTAAAAAAAACCACAGCAACAGTCTTAAATAATGTGATAGATAAAAAAGTGTCTGTATACTAACACTTACAAATAACATTTGGTAGATTTGTTAAAAAAATGCGAGTTACTCTAGCTTTATCAACTTGAACTTGAGTTATTTACAGTAAACGGTCATTTCGATGGACTAATGGAAGTCGCCAAATAATTAATGTTATGACATGTCAAGGGAATATTCCGTCCGGAGTTATGTAACTTCAGCCTCAATAGGGAGACTGTGGAACAGGCTTTGTCAACACGATAGATGGCTTCACTTAAGGCAAAACATGGCATATCGATTGCACCATTGTCACTTTGACATTTACGTAGCAAAGCGATGGACTCTTAGTTGATTGACCAATAATTTGTTACATGTGTACCAAATACTACAACTTTCAGTAAAATCCCTACTAATATTATAAAGGCGAAAGTTTGTATGTATGGATGGATCTTTGTTACTCTTTCACGCAAATACTACTGAATGGATTTTAATGAAACTTTACAATAATATAGCTAGCTTATACATCAGTATAAGACATAGGCTATAATTATTATACATATTTTATCTATATCTGTCTTTCTGCTTAATGTTACACCTTCAGCCTATTCTACGCAGACGTAGTCGCGGGCAGCAGCTACTTTGAAATAATTACTGTTAAATTTCGATAACCCATAGATGTAAATTGTCTTTCACACATTTAAATGGACTATGGTGAGACATGGAGTAACTTTTCGAGTCGGAATTATCATTACAAATATCATGTTATGAAGACTTTGTTTAGCAGTGACAATCACATACCAATATCTGTTTACTAATAACCATGTACAGCAGTCATGTTTTTTCATATGTTTAAGATTAATATTAAGAATTGTTTCATTCATTTAAGAATGTTTAAGATTAATAAAATTGGATAAATATCTACTTATTTCTACAGCTAATACAAGTTATAGCACAAAATCCAAAATGCTGTGAGCTTACCTAATTATCTTTAAACTTCAAGAAACGGTTACATAGTTTGTTACTTGAAATAATCTAGAAATATTATGATACTTTACAATTCCTTACGCTTTTTTGCGAAGCGGTTTAATCTCTCTGCCAGCTTAATCGCTTCATGTTAAATAATTTTAACTTAATGTCCTTTGCATTAAGATCGACTATCCGTTAACAATTATCACTCTTCACCCTCTCGATAGACTTTCCTTAAAACCGATATACTTCTTAATTCGGCAAAGTATGATACGGACAAAAACTTAAGTTTTGTATAAAAATATTAACGGCAATCCCGAAATGCAGCATCTCGTGAAAATCTTAAGACGTTCTCCATAATCACACTTATCACTTGCTTGGAATGCAGGCACAAGTACCTCACAAGTATTATAATTATAGCACGACAAACGATATAGGTAAAGGTGGCTCAGGATCGTACTTCATGGCAGTCTTTGGGGGAGGTTCATGTTCGCAACAATGGACTCAAACAGGCTGAAATGATGATTACAATAAATTAAGAATTTTAGTGGTATAGTGAGCTTCAAGCGAATCTTTCAGTGAGTTCACTGGTGACAACTTCAAGTCGACTTGAATCGATTTCTAATATATGAGACGCAATCAGTCACGAACGTGATTAGTTTAAGCAGTAGCGGTGATGTTCTTAACGTTCGAGCCATGGTAGGAAAAAAATTTGCGCCTCCGCACCTTGTTGATTGTCATATTTAAAAATATAAAAATGTATAGCATTCCTTTCTTTATTATATTTAGCTATTGTTTCACTTATAACCAGTGATCGTTTTCCAGGTCATTTTCTGCTTTTAATCGTCTTTTAATTCAAAACACTCGAGCAACCCGAGTTCGATCCCCGGTGCCGGCAATATTGAAATCATTAATTTTAAGTGCAGAATTATCACGTAGTCGGCGGTGAAGGAAAACAATAGTAAATGAAAAAAAACAATAGACTATGAAATAAATAAACAAATATTTAAACAAATTTAATATATATCATAATGCATATAATGCCTCATTGAACAAAATTTAATCAATCCGAACGTAGCTCGAAATAGTTATTACTTGTCTAGCCTAACTACGTCGGCTGCAAATTGATGTACCTGTAAAATAAAAACATTATTAAAAATAAATAAACATTATAATGAGATATTTTCACAATATATACAACAGTAACTGATTCCAAACTAAACGAAGCTTGTATAATACAATAGGTACTAATAATATAAACCTAACGTTATCTACTGGTTAGCTGAGAAAAATACTCTTCTTTAAAAAATAAATTCATGTAATAGATATATTAATACCCAGATACTAGTAAAACAATATCACCCCACAATATTTTTCCAGTAGGGAGGTTTGAGCCACACCCTCTGACACTCGTCTGAATGCCAGAAGGTGTAGGCTCAATATAGGATAGTGATGTCAGGTTCACTTCTTATCAGGTTCACTATCCGCTAACGGATTGGGTTGTATTTATGAGCAAACACGTATCCTAAAAAGAACCTTAAAACGACGCGCATTATCAGTCGTACTTGCATCCCTTTGCGGGAACACTGGTCCTTACAATACGTTGGTCATAATCTTAAACGTTTTCTTATAAAGCTATTTAAAAAGAACGAACCCTCCTTTAATAATATAGAATGATAGTTGGCAATGTGATCGCCTGAACAGTTGCGCCAACCGTGCCCCCAATGAAGGGAAAGATTATCTTGTGTTGTAGAAATGTTCACATACAAAAATCGCACATGTGTAAACCAGTTCCCGTGTCTCACATGCCCCGTCGCCGTACAAGAACTTAACCGAAGTGAGAATTGCTTAAAGTCACGGAGGTCCTTCTTGTCCTTTGTTATGTGTACGCTGAAGTCTGTCTTACTGTCTGAATATAAAGTGAATGTTTTCAAGGAGAAGTGGAAGAGGTTTTTCCTGAGCTCTGCCAGAATGAAGAATCCACCAGGTGCAAGAGCAATTAAGTTCTAGTTAGCTTATGATTCGCTTCGAGGGCATAGGGTATTGCGGCAACCGTGCTTTCAAGATGTAACCTCTATGTTACAACTGAGGCAATTAACGTTTATTGTAAACTGGCTGCTGCCCGCGACTACGTTTGCGTAGAATAGGCTGAAGGCGTAAGATTCAGACAGAAAAATCAAAATCAAAATCAAATGTATTTATTCAACATAGGAGCATTACACTCACTTATTGATAGTCAAAACACTACCACCGGTTCGGAAAAGAAAGCCACTGTACTGAGAAGAACCGGCGAAAGAAACTCAGCGGGCTTCTTTTTAAATAAGCAGTTTGACATAAATTCGTTAAAATACAATATAAGAACTCCGATTGAAAGAGCCTGGACCGATCAGTTCATTACCAGAGTGTGTTATCATTTAAATAATCATTAATATTATAGTAGCCTTTAACACACAAACGTTCTTTTACTATTTTTTTAAATTTAGCTATTGATGCGTTTTGAACGTTTTCTGGAATTTTGTTGTAATAACGTATACATTGTCCCATAAAAGATTTACTTATTTTACGGAGTCTACTTGTGGGTAGGATTAATTTATTTTTTGTTCCTAGTATTTATATCATGAACATTATTATGTCTTAAAAATTTATCCTTATTTTTATGGACATACAAAACATTTTCAAAAATGTATTGAGCAGCAACAGTCAATACCTTTATCTCTTTAAACAAGTTTCTTAACGATTCTTTGGGGCCCAGATTGTAAACTGCACGAAAAGCTCTCTTTTGTAAGATAAAGATTTTATTAATGTCGGCCGCGTTACCCCAAAGCAGAATGCCATAAGACATTATACTGTGAAAATAACTAAAATATACCAAGCGAGCCGTATCAACATCAGTTAACTGTCTTATTTTTTTGACCGCAAAAGCTGCTGAGCTAAGTCTACTCGCCAGTCTATTAATATGGGGGCCCCATTGCAGTTTGGCATCAATAGTTATGCCAAGGAATACAGTTGAGTCAATAGGGTCCAACGCTTCTCCATATAAGAGTACATCAGTTTTTACATGTTTAACATTGGAGGAAGTTGTAAATTTAATACATTTAGTTTTTTTATTATTCAACAGTAAATTGTTAGCACTAAACCATTGTACTACAGTAGATAGAGTATTGATTGATTGAAAGACAGATATACATTAGATATGTAAATAAATTATAGCCTATGTCTTATTCTGATGTAAGTAGTAGTAGTAGTAGTATTCACGCGAAAGAGTAACAAACATCCATCCATACATACAAACTTTCGCGTT